GCTCTTCAGTGGTGCCCAGGGACAGGCCGAGAGGCACAAACTGAAACGCAGGGAGCTTCGTGTGAACATCAGGAAAAGCTCCTGCTGGGAGGGTGACTGAGCCCAAGAACAGGCTGCCCAAAGAGGCTGCAGACTCCTTCCCTCAAGATATTGAAAACTCAGCAGGACACAGTCCTGGTCAATGTGCTTCTCCTGGTGGAGAAGGAGGACTGGACTAGATGATCTCCAGAGACCCCTTTCAATCTCAACTATTCAGTGCTACAACAACTCTGTGCTGTCCCAAAGCAGAAAAAAAAAATGTTAGAACATCTTTGATTAATTGGGACTCTTTCGCAAAAAGAAGTATGATGAAAAATTAACATTAATCACTAGCCATTATTTTAGCACCATAGATTCCAAGAAAAAGGTCAGTTGGGCCTCTTCCATAGGCAACCAAAGCAGAGGAATTCTCAGGAGAAAAGTTAATAAATAAATAAATACATACATACATACATACTTGGATCAGGCCTTGCCAGATCTTTGTCCTGCTCATTTCAAGCAAAATTCAAGTAATTATAGGTCAAAAGAAAGTTAACAATAATAAAAAGACTCTCCAATCCCCATCCCCTTAAAATATTCACCAAGTAAAACATGACTACATTATGCCTCACATATAAATTTTTCAAAAATAAAAACTGAACAAAACCTAAACCGAAAATGAGCCAAGAGCCGCTTACCACAAGACTAGCTTCAACTTGTCTTTCTCATTATTCCCTATCAAGTAGCACGTTACACTTCAGAGATGACTAGTTGATAAGTAAAACAGGGACTTAAAATGTAATGCAAACTTAATTGGGAGTATAATTCACACGCTAAACATAAGCAGAAGTTTTATCTTTACTCCACTACATCAAGGTTTTGTAAGTAACTTGCACTGAACAGAAGTAATTTTCAAATCAAACCTACTGATGTATTAGAGGAAAAACGCAGTAGAAAAGTTATTCATCTTCCGAGATTTCCCATTAGAAACCTAGCACACTCTTACCATGGGTAAATACTGCAATAAAGATATTTTGGCAGCAATCCTAAACCTCCAGAACCTCTTGGCATTTAGCATATTTTGAAGTGGGGTAAAATAAATTTCATGGTCTTTTGATTATCCACACACTACATTAGGTTCCAGAGATTTAATAAATACCACAAAAATGATGATATATCAACATTTGGCTTTTTTTCCTCCACCCCACTGTGAACCAGGCCACACAATTAACGGGCCCTTTAAAGAATAGTCATACAGCAAATGACCTCCTATAGCGAACACTTCTTTTGTGTTCTGCTTTCTTGGAAGCCTCTCAAACAGCTTGCGTGCAACTTTTCCTAGGAAAACAGCACATCCCAAGTAAAGCAAAGAATGCAACAGACATAATGATCTTTGGGAATTTACCCTCCCGCGTATACCAAAATCCCAAAGGAAACGTTACCGGTGAGGCTGACCACCCACGGAAATTCCCACAGTGTGGCACCCATGGAAATTCCCACAGCGTGGCACTGACAGAGAGCAGTGGTTGGAGGAAATCTGCAAAGGGATACGCAGATTTCTGACAGACCCACTGATTTTGCAGTAGCACAACTATTCTGGTTAGGATTTTTTTATTACAATATGGTTGTACCCAAATACGCCCTCTCATGAGCACCATTTACTAATATGAATGCATTTCATAACTTTTATCCAGCTTTCCACCTCCGTTGTGGATAAGTCATGCTGGTATAATAAAAGCAGAACAACTTTTACTGCTTGCGTAAATTTTATGTCTGTTTTCCCAGGTTTACGTATACAGGACACTTCAACGCTGCTGCCCAGGACTCGAGCTATTTCCAAGCAGTTCCTGCAGAACCTGGAGAACACCGTGGTGATTAACCCACGCTGAACTCTGAGCCGCGGAGGCTCAAGGGGCACCGACACACGCGGGAGAGCGGAGAGCCGCGGCCCAGGGCGCAGCACAGCGCGCTCAAACGCGGGGTGTCCAGACGGGCTCTGTGCCGCTCCGCACGCAGCACGGGAGCCCGCTGCTCGCCCTGGGGTTCGGCACCCAGGAACGCACCGAATCACCGCGCGCGGCGCTGCTCCGGGCCAGGAGGAGAGGAAAACCTCGCACGCTTCCAAAGAGAACTTCAACACGGAGGAATATACTCCGTCATTATGGCTAATGCTCTTTAAGGAAAAAAAAGCGCTCTCACCTTAGAAAGGTCGTCATTCTGCTCCTTGTCAGGCAGAGAATTTTGGTTTGTGCAGGAGTCAGAGTCTGATATTTCCAGTGAACCATCATCATCTGATCCATCACACCTTCCAGTGGAATCGCTATCCTTCTCCCACTCAATGAACTGGGGTTCATCTAAATAAAGATATTTGTTAAAAGACATTTTTAATAGTCACCCCTGTATTATTAACAAGTATGAATTCAAACAAACTAATACAACAATTAACAGAAGAAAAATGCAACTGATTTTGCTGGCCACATTCAATATTTCACTGTTTTTATAGATTATGAATTTTTATAGATATATGGATCTGTGATGGTACTTTAAACTACAGTAGCTCTGTAAATGCTAAAATTACTCATTTCTTAATGAAACTTCCAAATTCTGAAGTCCTCTAGACAGACAAACACAGAGCTCTGGGGTTTGCTTTTTCACACACACAAATGCATTTCTTTCTCTAGCTACAAGAAAGCTGCACCAAAAAGAACTTTGAGACCCAGACTTTGGTGACCAAGTAGCAAACAGGTCTGTCAAAGCAGTGTGGCAGGTATGACAGCAGCATAAACTCCTTAATGCACTATGAGACTATCAGTTTTACCAAAATGACATCGTGTCTGAAAGTGAACTTCACACGAAAGGATGTACTACTTTTAAAAATACTTTCTCAGCTACCATCCCTGCATGCATAATTACATCAATATAATACACATATTCATAGATATCTACAATACTATAATTACTGTGTATCATGTTTACTTGAGGAAGCACAAAAAAAACATTTCTTTCTCTTCATTTCTTTCAGTAACTCAGGATATTTAGGGGTTTAAAAGAAGAATAGGAAGAGACTATTTCCTCAGTGCCTTCAAACAAGTACTTTCCTTAAAGTACTGCTCATTATAAGGGAATGAATAAGGGACAATTGCAATATGATGATATTAATGACAGGTTTAAAAGATTCCTGGTGAGCATTATGTTGTATGTCTAGGAAACAGACAGTCCTTCCATCCCAACAGGAAGGAAAAAGAGTTATAGAATTGCACCAAATTAACATTTCTCTTCCTTCTGCTTCCCCTGCTCTGCGAATCAGAAAATGAATCGTAAGAACAAAAGCCACTGTTGTTGACACGAGAGCTAACAGGGAACAAGGAGTACTGTGTACTGAAAGGAAAACTCCTAGCACAGCAAATGCTGCTAACTGCAGCTGCAAACTGCTGCAGCGAGGCAGCAGAGGCAGGCAGCAGCGTCACCAGGGAACAGAGCAGCCCCGTGAAGCCCAGTGTGAACACCACAGCACAGGCAAGGAAATGGTACAAAAATCACTGTAATGTACTGAAATGAGCTGACCTGCTTCATTTGATGTTGTATAAACTGCCCAACTCTCATGCTTTACCCCATTTTTTTCCTTAACATAATTTATAATAACAGCTTATTCTATAATCCAAGGAAATGGATAGAAAAAATCCAACTGATTTAAGTGAAAAAGGGTCAGATCTTGCCATTCTCTTCGAATGGCCTCCAAGTATTTTCATTATGACACCTGCGGCAACAAGCTTCTTGACAAATCTGCTTGCACTCGACCTTACCTTCACCACCTCTCTTCTCTGACAATAAATCAGGCCTGCTGTACGATTTCTCTGCTTTAGAAGCATAACTTTTTTCATTGCATAACCTTGAAATTGATGTTTTGTTTTCATCATCTGAAAAATCACTGCCACTAGAGCTCCATATTATGTCCTCAGACTCCTTAGAGCTTCCAGCAGCAGAAGATCCTATTAAAAAGGATTATAACATATTAGAATATTATGGAAAAGTAATACTGGTAAACGTATTTTTTAAAAAAAAGAAGTTAAGCTATATGCTTTTTGAACTATAAAAATACTATCAATTCTGCTCTCAAGCATCAGAGACCAATATAGTAGTATTAGCTCACAGCATTTCTTGTACATACCCCTATTATTTTCATTTTAGTTCTCCAAGTTAAATGCTGACACTTCCTTTTCCATGAGCAGGTTATGAGTTGTTCAGCAGAGCACGGACCAGAAATGACCGTCTCACTAACAGTCCTCCAGACTCAAAGTCCTCATGCTCTCCCCTGTGCCCCTTTAAAACACTACTTGGTTTCAATGAAGACCATTTGCACAATTCTGGATTTTGGACTTCCCTTACTTTATGCAGCAAATTTACCTCCATTAGAGTTTTGTTACAAGAAAAAAAAAATCCCTTTCAGGGGTATCAAAGAATATCTGTGGTATTTTTGAAGTTAAGTGAGAGATACGTAATTCAAAATATCGGGTTTTTTATATATAAAAGAAAATAAAGAATTAATGCTTAACAGCAGAGTGTTCAGTATTAGTAATCATAACAAAACTCAGATTTTCACCATTTTTTCCCTTACTAAAGCTTTTTAAGTAAATGGAAAATATTGGGCAATTATTAGGTATTTGGGATGAGGCAGGAAGGCCAAGGAGAGAGATTTCCTCTTTCAACACAAAGGGATTCTTTTCAGAAACCTGGAAAAGCATGATTTTGAACTCCCAAAGGAGAGACACCCTGAAGCCATTTCTCTCTTTCTTTCTGTTTCTCTGGAGTCAAAAAGTGAAAGGACCAGTGAGAGTCTATAAATGTTCCTCCTCTTAATTATGCCTGGAGTTATTTTTAACATGGTATCAAATGGACTAAGGTACAACAGAAGACTGAAACCAGGCAGTTGACAGAATTCCCTTTGTCCATGCTTCATAGTCAAAAAAAAAGACTTTCCTCATGTACACCTCCCTGCGTGTCTCTAGGCAGAACAGAAATTGTTTCACTCTCTATCTAGACAGCCAAGGGTTGCTTTTCATCCTTTCCCCTCAAAACCTGAAGAATTAAAATATCCTGTCCCTGCTAGAGCACACACTGTATACAGCATTAGTGATGCTTCTCCCATCTGTTCAGGAGCTATTGCTAAAGTTTGATCAACATTACATGAAAACATTTCTGGTGCTCTAAGTGAACACAGGAGGCAAATTATGTATCAAAATTATGTCTCTTCACAAAATTAATTTCTGCATGAACAGATTACAATAGCAAAAGAAGAAAATAACCAGTTCCAATTCTGCTTGAAAAAGGACAAAGCTAAATGATAGTCTTTTGACAAAATGAACACCAAATAGCCAGAACGTACCTACTGTGCTTTCAGCAGATGTTAGCAGCTGTCCAAGATGCTTCTTAAACCTGGATTGTTTATCAGTAGGTTTCAGAGACTAGAAGCAATTCATGAAAGAACCGTAACAGAAGGGACTAATTTTTGTTGTTTTGGAACATCCAGCCTTCCTGTGACATAGACAGAAATTACATTTGACCTTGCAAAGAACAAGAGTCAGTGTCTTCAGCATTAAAATGTCAAAAGTGGGCAGTAAGAGCTTAATAAAGCATATGCCCTATTTGAAGGTTACAGAAAGAAGTATTCAGTGGTCCTGTCTCCAATTTTATCGAATCCCACAAGCTATGCAATCCCATGATTGCTCAGTAGCAGAAGAAACAGAACAACCCAGGGAAAGATTATTTTCAGCACTTCTCACTCAGAGCTGGGTGAACATATGACCTATGTTGAAGAAAATTAACTATAGGGAATAAATAAATCAAAAAAGTATAATAAAAATTAGTTTAACTTATCATCCAAAACAGCACACGCATCATGATCCACACCAGGATCATCAAACAGCACAACTGTCTACAGTGAGAATATATTTGCAAAAAATTATTTTTGTACCTAAATCAAATTCTACAGATGAAAACTAGTCTCTTCTCATTTCATAGTTTTTAGGGAAGCGCAATACTCCATTCTAAGTGGTAAATTATTTCTGTCTGTCCAAGTGTAGTTTTGCAATTTTTCAAGTCATAAGTATAAGATACCAACATATGCGCAGAGAATTACACTACGAAGACAATGTCCTTAATTAACCTTACTTTCCATTTTTGTCTACGTCAAGAGTTAATATACTTGTTAACTTGGAAACAACACCAAAAGAAGGGTCACATCTTCTAATTCAGTAGAGCAAGGAACTTTTTCAGCTGTCAGTTTGAATCTCTTACATTGCAAGTAAGCCCTCATCTTACCTCAAGCACGGAAGTGCTCTGGAATCCATCCCCACACCTGAACCAGGAATTGGAAATTGAAGCACCAGCTACTGATGTCCTGGCATTTGATTTTTTCAGCTGGAGAGGTGTCTCATCTGGGAAGGATGTGCATCCTGCATTCCAAAATCGCTTCCGCTAGGAGGAAAAAAATAAAGCCATTAAAGACATTAAGTCTGCATACACAATCCTTTCCAGGTGACATCTACCTGGCCAGCCCCTTTTACCTGAACACTTACAAACGTAAAATCCAAATTGTAATGAAAAAAAAAGTCCTGAACACTTGCAACCATTTTGGAGACAACAATCAGCAATCTTTGATAACTGTATTATTTTCTGTTGATCTAATTTACATTTGGTAGTACCTGTTTACTGTCCAATAATGATGAAAATATTATCCCGAACAGGAACACCTGAGTAAAATACATTTTAATTTAAGCCATGTTAAGCTTCTCATGCATATCCATGAACTCAGCAAATCCCCTTGAACAGAATTCTTCTGCTTTGCTATGCTGTGCAGCACCAATGGATTTAAAAAAAAGTCAAAAAAAAAAAAAAAAAAAAAAGGCACTGAAAGAGGGAGAGGAAGAACAGCAGACCATGGCAGCTACAGTACAGCCAGCATTTCACCACTGGTAAGATTTGGGAAGAAATCGCTGTATAAAAAAAGGGCAGGATAAAATCTAATGTATTAAATGATCTCTCCATAGCAGCTAGGAAGAGTACAGGTGCATACATAAAGGATAAGTTTTCAAACAGGCACAACTAAAAGAAGCTTATATTAATAAGCAGGTTTTTTTCTATGCTTAGATGGTCTAGGTCATCGTGTTTACCTTTAGGGGGATACAGTAAACCTAAACTCATTTTGAACGTTCAAGCCTGCTAACAGCTACTAAGGTATAAACTGCTATTGCATATAGCTACTAAGATATAAACTGCTATTGCATATATAAACTGCACTGCTATTCAGCACAACATGATGAGGCACTGGAAGTTACTTTGAAACAGCTGGGAATATTCCCATCAGCGGCCACCAGAGCCCCGACTGGGATATGCAAAAATAGCTTTAATAGCGAAGGACTGTCAACAACAGAGGAGTGTTATTTAATCCTGCCCTTTCTCAGCCCGAGTGGACGTGGGTGCTGCGCAGGTTTCAGAGCGGAGCTGCAGGGACGAGCCCCAGCACGTTTGTGCACTGCAGACGAGGCAGCCTAGTGACAGTCACAAACCAGAGCCCCGCGATTTATAGCCATTGCGGGCACTAAGAAACACTGAAAACACTTCCTAAAACCCCAGAACCAGTAACCAGAGGAATATTGCTTCTGTGTAGTTTCCTTTAACCATCACAAATTTCTGGCAAACGCTACTGGGAGAGGACCATACAGGAGCTACCACAGTAACCTTTCCAGCATTCTCCACAGCTTACTCCTCTTCAAAAACAACAACAGCATTCCCAAAACAAAACAAAAATGAAGACAACTCCACCCCAACTCCCAGACAACTTAAAACTCTAAAGAAATATCTGATGTGATTTCTGGAAACTGGGCCTACAGCCCAATTACTGCCTCAGTTACCAAGGCACGAGTCTTTGGTAGTAGCACTGCATGTGTATGCACATCTGCGCACACACACACAGTAGTTATGTAAAGAAAAATCTGATGTGTAAGGAGTATATGATTTCAGCACGTATAAAGCGATATTTATGCATACAGGTAAGCTCCCCAGGACCTCGGCAACGCGTCGGCTTGTGCCCAGAAATGGACTGTTTTAATGGTTCTTCACTTCCATTCCACTCCGCTTCCGGGCAGCAAAGAACTAGTCTCCCTTGATAATAAATATTTATAACAAAGCTAATCCCAAGGACATGCTGTTCCCAAAGAAATGAAGTGACAACTGTAAGTTCTCCTAATCTTGATTCACAAGGTTAATTATAGTCTTTTTCCTCTGGCATAAAAACACGAGATATCAAAAATATCTTGTGTAATTTATTAATGCCAGAAATGAAGTGCTTAGAAACAAGATATCTGGTATTAAAAAAACAAACAAAAACAATAAACAAAAGAAAACACCAAATCTGACTCAAAAGAGCTAGATCATGTACACTTGGTGTTCCTCATTAAAAAAAAGGAAAAAAGGCAACAAGAAACCCAAAAAGCAATACTCAGTACAAAACAAAAAGTTAATCAAAAAAACTTGTGAATTACACAAAATGTCTGGAGACAAAATGTGACCCCTGAAATGCTTAATTTTTTAAAACAAGAAACTATGTTGGCCAAATTATGTAGAAATCATCCGCTGCGCTTTATTTAGGAAATACTGCATTTTGTCTTTGGAACAGCTCCTTCTAACGGAGCGAATGGGAACTCCTCGTGTCAGTATCAGTGAGAGCAGGATCCAGCTCTTCACACACAGAACATAACCCTTGGGCCATTATTCCTTCGGGGAGGTGAAGCACTGACACCTGTATTTGGTGGGGGAGCGGGATGTAGCACGAGCTGCAAAGCCAGCAAATGCATAATGATCAAACACTGCACTCAAAGTATAAGGCGAGGCCAGGGGGTTGGTTTTGACTTTTAAATACGAAGGCCCACCTAGAATGTCTTTAGCAACCAATCAACATGCTGTTGTTCCTCATGCAAGTATTGGCTAAGCAGAAGTCCTTGGTCCCGTTCAATGGCTGCTCACTGCACAGCCCCGTGCGCTCGTGCTGAAAGTTTCAGCTCTGGTTTCCCAAGATGCGTGCATTTTCTTTTTAAATATTTGAAGGAAGCAATCACCAGAAAAAAGCACATGGCAAGACCAGACACCAACCAATAGCCATTCTCATCTTCCACCTCTGTCCACATGGACTTCAAAAAAAGTAACTCCTCAAAGTAAAATAAATGAGTCCTGGGCTTTAAAAAGACACATTAAAATAAAAATTTAAAACCCACAAAATTAAATTGTCACAACAGCCATCTAATTTTCAGCAAAGTTCAGTGTTCCTCCTGAAAGTGTGGTCACCACTTTCAGTGCCTGGATAGCATTTAAAGTTTTTGTTCCTTTCAAATCCTTAGGCATTCCCGCATTTCTGGCTCAAGCAAGGATTTAAGTAAAGACTATAGAATTAAAACTGTAGCTTCTATTTACTCAAGCCAAAACTCTTTTTTTGTCCTGTGAAAATAGGTACATGTATTTTCCAAAGACTATTCAAGTGTTAAGATCCTAACTGGGAAGGGCTATCATCAAGTTACAATCACTTGTAAAACAAAACATCTGAACTGCACAACCACGGTCACAATGATCTGACCTACTTCTTGGTGATCGTCAGCATGCTAGTAAAAAAAAAAAAGTATTTTGAAAAAAAAAGTTAAAAATTACTGCTGATTTATGAGACCAACAGTTTTAAATCACGGCTTTAAAATTTTTACTTTCTTGACTTTTATCAGTCAATGAAAAGCTTTTCATTGACTGATATGCATACATACATTGTCAATACCATTTTTTAATCTATACATGCTTATTTAGGTAACTGGGTATGTAATACACATTTACATTGAGGAAAAATGCCTCATGGAACATGAATACTTTTAAAATTCACTTTTCATTCACGAATGACGTCAAGCTACTATTAGAAATCCGAATTCAAAACAGAAGTACTTTAGAAAAGCTTTTACAAGATTAATTTACTCAAAATGTTTAGGATACGTAAAAAACTATGTTATGTTTTGCTTTTAAAGTAGTTGAATTCATAGGGTAGTCACTGAGTGAGGAAGATTGTTGTCTTGATCTATACTTGACCAGTATGTCTTTGATGGGTACAGTAAGGAGTAATATTATCTTTGCTTTCAGAAGAAACTACTACTATCAAAAGCTGCAGTTAATTTTTAAAAGATCTGGTTTGACCTCAATGCAGCAGTTTATCATTATTGGGGCAATAACCTTAAAACTTTTAGGAAAAAAATATGCATAGTGTCAGAATTTTTATGCATTTCAAGGGAATTATAAAAGGTTATTTTAAGTATCTTAACATTTTTATTTTAGGAAATTACATTTAAAATGTATTTATATTTAAGTGTGGGAGGAATATTCACACCACTCTGATGCACATGCTAAATAAAAAGCTTTAGGAACTAAATCTGGCATTTAAACTCTATTTCCATTTATTTAGCAAGCAACAACGAGGCTCTTAGTGTGTCTATAGCCTTTCAGCAGTACCTTTACACCAGCATAAGCACTATTAATCAGACAGAAACTGCATCCTGCTTACTATCCTGGAAGAATCACCAAATGCGCCAAGCAAAGTACCTGAGAAGATAGAAAACAGTTGATGAAATGCCTCCTTATCCTCCCACTACTGTACCTCCTCAATGGCCAAAGAAAATAAGCTTTGCTTTCACAAGAAAGCAGAATATTAAAAGTAGCAATGTGGAAAAAATAATAATAAATAAAAACCAAAGTCCCTTTTCCTCATGCAGTTTATCTTGCACACACTTACTTCAGAGTGTCACCTAACAAAAAAATGCTCCAAGTAGCTACAATCCCTGCTCACTGGAGTGGTGCTTCCACTGTGTAATCACGACTAAAAGGTCATTTTAGCGTAATTATAACCCAATCGGAACCATCACAAACGTGGTAGGAGTTGGTACCCGCCACCTCCTGCAGCGCGGCGGGCTGTCCCCGCTCGCTTTGTACAGGACTCCCCCATAGTAGTTTTGTTTTTCGAAAGGTCCCGGTTAAACTTTTTTTTTTTTTTTTCCCAGTGGTTTCAATGACGCCGAGGGCAGGCCTGGGGACAGCGGGCCAGCGAGAGCGCTTGCCCGGCGGCAGAGGCTGCACGACCAGCGGGCGGGCTGCAGCGGCCCCACGTTACCCCTGCCAGGTGCGGCCCCGCGGCCAGGGGC